AGTAGTATAATTTTTAATGGATGGACAGTTCTAAGTTGGCTTCACATCTGCAATAACAAACATCAGTAATTGATCACATWTTTATTCAGGTCTCTTATAATTCCAGTTGTGCTGTAATATTTCAGTAATAGAGCAGACAGGTTTGGCCTTCGCACTACTTACAGCAGCAAAAGTAAAAAAAAGAAAAGAAAAATGTGGCTCAGATCTGCTGTTTCTGCACAGTGCATGACTGTAATGATGAAGCCCTCTGAGTATACTGCTCCTAACTGGGCTTCAGGCAGACGTCTTCTTAGTTTGTGACTCCGTTCAGCAGATGTCTATGTTAATAAACATTTTTTTCCATAACAGGRCAATTCCAGTAACAGTGCCAGTGCTGTACTTATTAATTATTCAACATGATAGTGAGAAGACATCAGGGAGAAATATTTCTATTAAGTAAAGTCCTAAGGTTATACTCTGTGAGATTCAGTCTTTGTAATACTGGCATTGTTGAGAATAAAGAAAGGGAATTTATTTTTGATTGATTAAACAGCCAATTATGTTTATTTTTTCATCTGTATTATGTTTGAGTTATTGGGTTGATTTTATAATTGAGATATAAAAAAATAAAGCATCACTTGTTTTGGTGAGAAACGTGGCATCCATCTTTAACTCTGATGTGATAAAAGTTTTAAAAACAACAAACACCGACTGAAGCTATTTCATCATTGCACCCTTCCCCCCGGGTGCATCTATTTCTTCATATAAAGCCTGCAGCCTCGACAGAGCAGCGAACACAGTGCTGGGGGGAAGAGAAACCCCACAGTGGCAGTCATGTGGCAAGAAGACTGTTTTATTTAATAAGGTGTGTCAAGTTCCAAAAGAGCTTTTATGTAAGAGTAAATTCTTTGGCACACTATAGTGTCTTTTCATGCAGATTTCTACTGAGTTTTCCTTTTGTTACACGCAGAAAAAAACAAGCTAATTGGCCTCACAAGGCTTGGTTCATTGTGCAGGATGACTTCATGCAAACATCATGTTGATGCTGATGTGTTGAACTGAGCAGCTCAAGTCAGCACACTGTTCAAATACACAGTGAAGGGATATTTTCTTATCGACCTAATCATACTGAGTTTCATATAAGTCCATTTCAAAACATTTCTTTAGAGCGTGTAGTGCCATTACAGTGTACAGAAGACTATTTATACATAAAGGCAATTGAGTGAAAGATTATAATCTCTCACAGTTCTTTTAAGCTTTGCAGAACTGCACTGAAMCTGTCAGTTCCAGCTCTTTTTTTAAAGTTTTATAGCAGCAAAGACTCATTTCACTGAACTCTCAGCCAGTATTTCAACTAGGAATATGCTTTGCGTGAGACCGTTTTGCGATTGCAGTGTGCAGAGCATGATCACAACGCTGTAAGTCAAACTGTCTGACGTTGTTTATACAATGAGCTGTTGATGCAGATTTTAGGTTAAATGCACTGAGTCTTTTCTCAAAGCCAGAACACACACACACACACACACACACACACACACACGCACACACACAACAACAAAAAAACAGGTCAAAACAGCTGCTCCTATTATTTTCTACTATAATGCCACACTTCAGCATGCATGGCTGCCTGCCAGAGTTATACAAAGTTCCACCAAGAAGTACCTCATCTTTATTTTTACRTTTGTTGTTCTTGTCACCWCTTKTGACATGAGTACAYGTATTTGTACATACATGTATGCGCACATTTTAAATCTGCCTCCTGTGTGTACATGCAAGTATCTTTAGCGGMTCTTGTTTTAGTCTTGAATTAATGAAAACAAATATTCATTTTTTTTCAGCATTGCTTGGGAATCTTATTATATTGGATGTTTCCGTAAGCAATAAGGTTTATATTATTTGAAATTTAATTTGTTTTTATTCTTATTTGTATGGTGGGGTGGCCACTTTGTGAAATCTGTGTTCACTTCTTTAACCTTACCGTATATAGCTTACTGTATGTTTCTTTAAAGATGAAGGTATGACTTTTTGATCCACTTGGAACAWCTCACAGAGTGAAAAGAAGCTGATGTGTTTACAGTTTCTGTGTTAAGTTAACTGTTCATTAATGTGATTGATTGGTTCTTGGACCCTGATGTAGACGCTGCAAAGTTTTCATTTTTTTAGCAGTTCTGGTGGGATTTTCGTGCTGTGCTTGGGATCATTGTTCTGTTTCATGACCCAGTTTTGGCCAAGCTTCAGCCACCGGACAGATGGCATCACATTTGATTCAAGTATGGTATTTGGGTATTTCTATATACAGAGCGGCATATCATGAAATCACTGAGCTCAAYGTTCTCAGATCCAGGTCCTGTGGCTGCAAATCAAGCCCAAATCGTCACCTCGCCACCACCATTCTTGGCAGTTCGTGTGAGATGTTTGGATTTATATTCTTCTGCACGTTGGCTTTGTGCCAACATGATGCAAATCGTTTTTTTTTTCTTGTGTTTTACATTTGCATCTGCAAACACGAGCCTTGCTGTTCTTTTCAGAAGTTTCTCCACCCAAACAAATCCCTTTTTTTTCATTTTCACTTTCATGACACTGCATTTATAACATGTTAATTAAGGCTGAATGATGACATGTTTATCTTTGGGTAACGCTTTCTTTTATGGTACCCCTATTACCATGTAATTACAAGTTAATAAAAAAGTGGTAATTAAATGGTAATTACTGTCTTATTACCATGTAATTTCATGTAAGTAGGGTACAAAAAAACTGTTAGTAAAACTACCTTTATTGGGTAACTACAATCAAATTACTATTCAATAGTAACTCAAAACTGTATTTATAACCAAAAGAATGCAACGATTTTTTGGGGTTAGTGATTAATTGCAATAAAATATAACTTTAAAACTGTCCAAATTACCTACTACTTATTTAGGTGTTACATAGTGAATTGTAACACATTACCAGGTAAGTGCTGCATTACTGCAGACAATTAATTATATAGTAAAATTGTACCCAAATTACCACGTAATTACATGGTAATAAGGTAGTAATTACATTGTTACATTTTTATTACCTTGTAATTACATGGTAATAAGTGTACCGTAAATGAAAGTGTTACCTATTTTTTGTTTTCTTGGCAGATTTCTGAGGACAACACCRTTTGACTGTAGAGTAAACCGAATGTTTTCCTTCTTGCTTTATATTAAGACACACGAAAGCCCAGACCAGCAWCGTTAGAACATTTCTGCTTTTATAGAGGTGATCAAATTCACTGACTGCAGTAACACTTAATTCTTTTAATTCTTGTAAAAGTATTTGGGCAGGATATGCTGTAGTTTTTATACCTAATATCAATTTTTATTTTTTGTTAATTAAATCATGAATCTGTGCACTTTATCCTCTGGCACATTAATTTTTTTTAAGTTTCAGTTATTTAATTTTAAAACAGTATTGATTTTTATATATATTATATATATTTAAAATCTAATAAAACATAAAAACTAATAAAAGGTTTATGTACGTTTTATTAAGTCTGGATGTTGAATGCCTAATAGATGTTTAAATTATAACACAGTATGTTTTTCYGCCCACATTAATTATGCAGCTGTAAAAATAAATAAAAAATCATGGCATGGTGCCTAATTCTTCAAGTTTGCAGCTACTCACTGTTATAGCCATATGGGTAAACAAACATGACTCAGCAAAAAAGACGGCAGCAATAAAACGAGTTGCAGGAGGAACAGCGAGTTCGAGCTTTGAATGTAAAGCTCCTGTGCGCTTTATAGTTGGGTTAGTGCTGTCAAAACACTTTCACCATGAGCCAAATGTGTCAGCACTCTGAACACGCCACAAAGAGAATATCTTCACGTTGGTTAAGAGTTTAAACAAAGAACACTGTGCAGGTTTTCTTTTCAACAAGAGAATAACTTACTTGTGCACTTTTTGAGCCCGGAGCCTTTCTTCACAGCATGACGGCTGAGTTTGCAGTTGAAGTTGTTCTCCCAGAACTCAGCAAACCAGATATTCCTTCTGTTGTTTTCCAGCGTTCGACTGATGAAGTACCGATCGAACCCTGAACACATCGATACGTTTCCTGTCACTTTAACAGTGGGTGTGAATGGTTATCTGTGAGCCGCAGGTATGATCATGACTGGTTTTTTTTTTACTAGTGATGTTCGATACTGCCAATTTTCTTTCCGATACTGWTACCGAGTAAAAATTGGCTGTTATCGGTGATACTAATCTGATACTGATATTTTGTGCTAACACACATAACGTGCCTGGTAAAGCAATATTTTTCAAATAACTGCTTTATAAATAATACATGGCATATTAATTTATTTAATTTAAAAGTCTTTCTAACACTAACCTTATATTTGTTTAGCACAACTCTAATTCTAAAGAAATATAATTTTTGAATAGTGATTAAAATGAGAGAAAACAGTCTAAAAGTTGTTACTTTGTATATTTTGTAGCATTGTTTGTGGGTTTGCAAGAAGGTCCTTGGCCAGAAATAATCCTGTTTGGAGTGCCGTGGCATGAAAAAGTTTGGGAACTAGAATTTAATTAGTCAGACAAAGCAGATTTTATGTTAAAATGACCTGCCATACATCTACAGACTGAATGACTGAGCACGTGCCACTGTGCGCATGCATTGGCCAAGTGGAAGAAAAAGTAGTTCCCTCCAACCACATTTGATTTAGACAAGATTTGAATAGTTTAGTTATTTTCCACTATTTTTCTAATAATTTGAAAACATTATGTGGAATAACTGAAGTATCAAAGTATCGATATTTTGATTTTAGTATCGATTCTAGAACATAAAGTTCTGGTATCTGTAGTATCGATATTTCGGTATCGTTCTGTACATCACTATCTGGTACATATTTTACATTCAGCACATACTATACTCAATATTCAATTTATTTCACTTCTTGTTTGATTGGATTTCCTGTATTTTTCAACTTTGAAGGACAAATGAAAGATTTAAAGCAATTCGAAGGATTGTTTTCCTCTCAAGCTGCACGGACCAAAAGCAGCCTTGGCTCAGATGAAAAGAATATTTCAGTGAAAGTGTTTAAAACAAGGACCCCTGATGTTTGCACAGTGCTCGTCTCCGTACCTTTAATGGTCTGGCGCTTGGGCAAGATGGTGACTGCTCCCTCTGCCACCTCCTCCTGCTGCAGGACGGGAGAGATCTTTGAGCCCCAGCTGTCTGAACCCACCCAGATGAAATGACCCGTCTGGTTGGCCTTTTTTGCCGCGTGGAGCAGCCGCCTGCGAAGGTGAGGAAACAGATGTTGTCATGGATAAGATCAGCATCCCCGACCAGCTCCGCTTTGATTTTGGTCTGCAACCTGTAACACGGTGGTCTGGCAGGAAAAAACAGACATGGCTGCACTTCCATGAGTCTGTTCTGTCGACTGCAGTCAGGTGTGGTTTTTTTTTTTTTTGATCTTTTATCTTCAAAGAGGAGTTACATTATTTAGCTGTTGCTCTACCTGATATCGTCTTCATTGGCGAAAAGTATGACGACTCTCGCGTTGGGGTTTTCTCCCAGTCTCCTGATGACCTTGTCAAACTCTCCCTGTTTKGGCTCCCTTGGGATCTTGACTGACTGTGAGAAGCACACACCACCTGAATCAAGAAATTGTAAGATGTCAGTGAATACCCCACGTACTGCATCAGAAAAAATTGGCAAAAAAGTAAACTAAGTTTTTGTTAAAGAGAAGCTGTACTGCCTTTTATGTCTTGTTAAAGTGAAATATTTTAATCTGCATTTTYGTTTAGAAACTACTGAAAGATAAACAGTGTAATCATCAGAGTTGTAATGTAACTAAGTATAAATACTTCTTTACTGTACTTAAGTAGAATTTTTGGGTATCTGTACTTTACTTGAGTAATTATTTTTCAGCCTATTTTTTACTTCTACTTCTTACATTTTCACACAACTATTTGTACTTTCTACTCCTTACATTTTTAAAAAAGGCAAGAAGTAGAAAGTCATTACTTTTATTTCATTTTTGCTTGTTTTCAGTCCAGCTTGTAAAAAAAAATAAATACTATCCATATAGATTCTGCCTCCTAGATAGAGTGAACTTAAGTGTGGTTAAATGAGAAGTATAAATATATAAAAATATGATACTGTATTAGTTTGTACACCAACAAATCATGTCACACTGCAGCAGGACATAATCATTAAAATAAAAGGACTGTACTGAAGAAGTATTTGTATTTCATGAATTATATTACTACATTTGGCCGCAGCCCTCAGATAGATTTTCATATTGGAGAAAAGCTTTGTGCAGCCTTGATATATGTATATAAACTAAAACAGCTAGACTAGTGCATCCTAAATTTAACATAAATTCATTATTTTAATACAATATAATAATTTCTGCAGTTTATGGGAGGTCACCTCCTAATAAATGTCATAACAGAAAATCTAACTGCTCATTTTAAATCAATACTTTTACTTTTCATATTTAAGTACAAAAATATCAGATAGTTTAAGACTTTTACTCAAGTAATATTCCTAAAGGAGACTTTAACTTTTACCAAAGTAAGTTTTTGGTAAGATACTTGTACTTTTACTCAAGCATCACCTTGTGGTACTTTRTACAACACTGGTAAACATGTATGCATGTTTTCTTTTAATTTATGCATTTCAATGTGTATTTATCACATATTTAGGAACTTATTTTCATTTTTGAAAAGTGTGTTGCAGAGAATACCCACGCGACCCTGAAAAGGAAGAAGCATGTACAGAAAATGGATGGATGGATGTTGCAGAGAATTGAATGTTTAGTAGCAAAATACAGATGCACATCTAACATCTTCTATAGGTGAATGTTTGCATCTCCCGCAACAGCAGGAGGGTAAAGCTGTTGCCTAGCATGGTGCTTTGCAACATTGTGCTAAAAAAGGAGCTTTGTAATGCAAAGTCAGAATAAAGAACCAACAAACAAACATTTAACAGAACAAGGTATTATTATAAAAAGGGAAATGGCCGAAACTACCTATATAGGCACTTTACTCATTATAGTTGTATACAAAGACCTGTTTGTTGTTGTTGTTTCAGTCAAAGGAGACAATTTGATTCAAAAATTATTGCACTTTACTGATCCCTGGTTAGTTTTTTTTTAATGCACAGTTTGGCATAACTTTATACAAAGAATAAATAAATGTCCTTTGTGTACAAGTTTAAGTGCATTTTAGTGCAGCTCTGTTTACTTGTCCAGGTTTTAAAAAGTCCCCGTGTCGGGCRGAAATGTCTTCTTAGGAGAGCCAGTCGGTTTCTGGTGCAGCTCTCAAGCCTGCAGAAATTCAAAATTTGCAGCAATTTACATGTAATGACAAGTTCTGAGTGCCACGAGCAGTGCTCAAGAACAAAATTCAAGCTAAAATGTAATTGTCAGTATTTAAATTGCACGGCTTCATTTGGCAGAAAAACTCAATAAATGATTTATGTTTTTAAAAAATGATATAAGTTTTTTATAGTTGGTGGATGGATTTCATGAATCAAACAGCCTTGTAGGAGGCCYGGTTTGCTTTAGCCTTGCTGCACAGCTCAGTCTGACATTTCTCATTAAGTTGCTCTTTATCAATTCTTAGGAAGTTTATTTAGACACTTTTTTAGAAAATAGTTGTTTTCATGTTATGATTATTTGGATAAAAGATGGCCATGATGGGTGGTTTTTCATATCATTTCCTTGAAAAAGTTGTTTACCCATTCTACGAAAACTCTGMTGATGTACACAAAGTTCACGTTCTTCTAAAAACCCCATCCAGCTCCTGACTTTATACTGATGTGGAGCAGCAGATTTGTTTGTCAGTGAACAATGATGCAAAGAGATTTTTCCTCCATGTTTCTATGAAACTGTTGCCTGCTGAACTTTTAGCAAAGTCCCTCCCTGTCATGTCTGAGCAGAGGGGCATCAATCCACATTTTAAAAAAAAATCTGAGATCTACTTGAGATTTTCCGACAGATGTTACCTCCACATCCTATAAAAATTCATCATGCGGCCTAAATATGTTTTCTTTTCTTTCTGCCTAAATTAGTACACTTGTAACAGATGTTCCTTTTGTTTCCTGTAAAAAAAAAAAAGAATAAATAAATCTGTTTGGGTAAAATTGCAGAGAACAAAGTCACAGACAAGCCAGACAGCAGGACGCCCACATCTTTAACAACCACAAACAAGCACAGAATCTCTTAATTGGTGATGCTGGTCATTTCACACTTTCCAAAAAGAGAAGAAAAAAAAAACTAGAAAGGAAGTCTTGATTTCAGAATTGTTAACACACTGGGTTTTCTGTAGTGTTTTTAAGTACGCTCACCCTGTTTGAAGAATGATGCAGGTGCAGTTGAGAAAAAAAACTTTGTCTTTTAATTTTATCCTGAAAATTGAAAGTATAATTCAGACCTGGTCTCACAGCAACAGGGACACATTAAGTTTGTTATTTGAAACTGATAGTTTTGGTGGAGCAGTGGCTAGAGCTGCTGAATCTCAGCAAGGAGGCTGCAGGGTCAAAACTCGGCTGCAACCTTTCAGTGAGGCGGTTGCATCTTCTCCCTGTGCATGCTTGGCTGTATTCTAACCTTTTCTCATTCAGTCTATGGTCTAAAAACATGCATGTTGGGTTGACTGGAAACTCTAAATTGTCAGTGTGAGTGAAAAATGTGAAAAGTTACCCCGCCTCCCACCCAACAACCACTGGAGACGCCACCTCCCTTCGACTCTGGACAAAACAGAAGGTAATAAAAATAGAAAGGGGGAATGGATGTTCAGCCTGCCTTACGATCTACTTTTGGTAATCAAGTTGTTCCGTAGACACACTGTACACAAATCCATCCAGCTAATTTACTTAGCTGTGCATTTGGGAGGTTTTATCCAAACTTTATACATGCTGCTTCCAGGTTGAGAGATGAGCATCTCCCTCAAATGAAGGAGTTTAAATATTTCTGTATCTCATTTATGATTGAAGGTATGGAACAAGAAACAACAGGAGGATAATGATTTTTATCATCAGTAATGAGGAAGCTGCATCCATTTGTGATGAAGATGAAGCAGACATGGTCCATCTCAGGCCTCACCTCCTGACATTGTGACATTTGGCTCATTGATTAGCATGCSTTCCAGTCCCCTCATGCTGCAGGGTTTTGGGGATCTGTCCTACTGGGAGGAGACCCTGAGGCAGGCTCAAAACTCRTCTGAGGAATTCCTAATCTCTTCATAGATACCCAGAAGTAGCCGGCGTTCTTCCCATAATATAACCTGGCTTCGGATCAGGGGATAAAGATGAATAATTAAAACTTTTAATGAGATCTTTTTTTGTATCTTGACAGATGACAGTATACAGAGTGACAGTTTGTTTGGAGTGCTCATTTTTGCATCTCTAAACAGCGACATAACCACATCGTCTGAACTATTATTACTCCCAAATCTGGACAGATTTTAAGTGAATTAAATTATTATGTAGAGCCCTAAAAAAAGAGACGTGGAATATCTAAACATCACTTAAATGACTTAATGCTTTGGCTCAGTTAATTGTTTGAGGCATTGTGCTGCAGCGGCGAGAGGCTTTTATCACTTCAGCCATGTGCTCGTGATGACCCACTTGTCCTGTTGACTCAAACAGGCTCCATTATCGGCCATTTTGGGTGTTTACTTAAATGAATGGGTTCAGATAAGTGAGGATCACTCAAACACGCATTACTCTGCGGTTTCTCGCGTGCCAGAGCAGATGGCTATCCTGGTCTTATCTTAACAACGTCCTCCCAGAAATGAATGGAAGCTAATAGTGACAAATACCTGCTGCGGTGTCAGGCCAGCCACATTCATGCAGTCTGTCTTTGTCAGAATGGATGAGCTGTCTAATCTCTACTTGCTTTGTTTTTTTTTTTTAGACACAGACACCTTCCAGATAAACAATCGTGCACAGTGAGATAACCACAAAAATATAAATAAGATGTCATCAGAACTCACAGATATTAAAAACCAGGGCAGGATTTTTTTTTCACAGGTATGAAGTTTCTAAACAGTAGAATAAACTATATCACACCGACATAATTCATGTAGGTGGGCAAAAGTTTAGGATTAGATTAAGCTGGAAAGGAAGTGGTCTTTGCTTTGAAATGTTTTTTTTTATCAGTAAATCAAGTAAGTTTATTATTGTCTTAAATCTTAAGGAGATTTTCCCATCTTGTTTAATAATTCTGAGTTTTTACATTCTGACAAAGTGGGGCACTTTTTTTATTTTCATCTCTTGGGTCTCCCCTCTGCATTCCTCCACTCTCCCAAACTCTTAATAAAGCCCTGCAATCAAAGCTGGTATTGTAATAATACATTAGGTCTTTCAAACACCAGGCAACTCATGACTTTGGCTCATTTTGCTTAAACTTAATGACTTGTGTCTCGATTGAGCAATCTTGCTGATTTTTTTGTCCTCTCAAAAAAAAAACATCTTGGTTACAGTAAAAGGCATGTTTTTTCTCGCCTTGGCAATGTGCAAAGTCATATTWAAATAAATATGTAAGACGTATATAAAAGAACAAGTGAGAACACAAGAGATTTATGTGAGAAACAGCCTAATGAAGAGCTAAATGTAGCATTCTGCAAAAGCAAAAAAAAAAAA